GACATCCAGGGGATCAGGCCCAGCCAGCGTGGGGTTGGGAAAGCAGGTCCTGCCTGACCAACCTGGTCTCCTTCTGTGACAAATGACCCCCTCAGCAGCTGAGGGAAAGGCTGGGGATGTGTCTGTGCTGACTTCAGGAAAGCCTTTGAGCCCATCTGCCACAGCATCTCCTGCACAAACTGGCTGCTCATGGCCTGGACGAGGGAACTGTTTGTGGGGGGGAAAACTGGCTGATGGCCCAGGGAGTGGTGGGGGACGGAGCTAAATCCAGGTGGGGCTGGTCACTAGTGGGGTTCCCAAGGGCTCAGGGTTGGGGCTGCTCCTGTTTAACATCGTTATTGTGATCTGGATGAGGGGATCGAGTGCCCCCTTTAGGAAATTGGTGGGTCCCATGAAGTTGGGTGTGAGTGTGGATCTGCTGCAGGGCAGGAAGGCTCTGCAGAGGGATCTGCACAGGCTGCATCAATCAGGCCAAGTGTCAGGGCCTGCACTGGGGTCACAACAACCCCCTGGAACACTCCAGGCTGGGGGCAGAGGGGCTTGAGAGCTGCTCAGCAGGAAGGGACTTGGGGGTGCTGCGTGATAGTGACTGGATATGAGCCAGAGTGTGCCCAGGGGGGCAAGGAGGCCAAGGGCACCCTGGCCTTTCTGGAGAACAGGGTGGCCAGCAGGGCCAGGGCAGGGATTGTCCCTCTGTGCTGGGCACTGAGGAGGCCCCACCTCGAGTGCTGTGTCCAGTTCTGGCCCCTGAGTGCAAAAAGGCCCTGGAGGGGCTGGAGCGTGTCCAGAGAAGGGAACGGAGCTGGGGAAGGGCCTGGAAAACCTGTCTGATGAGGAGCAGCTGAGGGAACTGGGGTTCTTTAGTCTGCAGAAGAGGAGACTCAGAGGGCACCTCATCACTCTCTCCCATGACCTTAAAGGAGGTTTTAGTCGGGAGGGGAGGTCAGTCTCCTCTGCCAAGCCTTTAGTGACAGGAAGAGAGGAAATCGCCTTGAGTTGTCTTGGGTGAGATTAGATATTAAAAGATTAGATATTAGATTAGATATTTAAAAAAAAAATTTAACTGAATGTGTGTTTACAAGTTGGAACAAGTAGTCCAGAGAGATGGTGAGTCTCTGGAAATGTTCAGATGGCATCTGGATGTGACACTTTGGGATATGGTTTAGGGGTGATTATGGTGGTTCTGGTTGACAGTTGGACAAAAAGATCTTGATGGTCTCTTCCAACCTTGATGATTCTGTGATTTTGTGACCTGTCATCACAGTTTCCAGGTTTGTGCTCTGACAAACCTGGAGATGTTTTCTCTGCTGGATCCCTCAGTGGGACCCATTAACACTACAAGAAACTTTACAGTTTGAATCTCACTTTTGTTTCTCAAGAGGTTCCTGCAACTCTCCTCAGGGTCTGATGTTCAGGGACTCATCCCCAAAGCCCCCGAGGCTGATGAAATGCCTGGGGCTGTTGCTGTGCTGCTGAGCTGGGCCGGGCTCCTGGCACACAGAGAGCTCCTGGCAAGAGGGCAGCACTGCAGAGAGACAGCTCTGCCCAGGAGCAGCTCCTCTGCACAGCCCAACAGGGCTGAGGGCACTGCCTGCAGGTGCTGGGGGCAGAGAAGGTAACTGAGAGAGGGAGGTGAAGCACAGTCTGGGCTGAAAGGACAGAGGAAAGCTCACCAAGATCTCACTAGAGGAGAAACTGTCACAGTGTTTGAAACTGTCAAGCTGTAGGAATATAAACATCAGTTCTTGCAGAGATCTCCTAATGCTGGCACACCCCACAGCTTTTAGGTTCTTTCTCAAGGACACCTACAGTTCCTCCACTGCAGAGGAGGTGGCCACGTGGCAGGGCTATGTTTTCCTGCCGCACCATGCAAGGGACAGAGCAAGACAGCTCCCTGTTCCCAGGGTCTGCTGCAGGGCTGTGAAGCCAGGGGTGCCCAGGGCTGTGGGGCAGAGCAGGGTCCTGCAGCCCAGGGTGCTGTGCTGGGCAGGGACTCTGCTGCCTGCCAGGGGCAGCTCAGCCAGCCCGGGGAGCTGCTCCCAGGGCTGGGGCAGGAGAGCTCTGGGCAAGGAGCAAACCTGAGCAGGGCAGGGTCCTGCTGCTGAGAGGGTGCTCTGTGGGTCAGCGCTGCTCAGAGCTCCAGATCAACCTGGGGACAGCTGTGCAGGACTCTGTCGAAGAAGAAGGGAAGGCAGCGATTACTGCAAAGATAAGGAGTTTTCCTGAGACTGTTTTCAGTTCTTTTACTTGGAGCAGGATAAGATGGTTGGGGGATGAGAGAAGTAGAAAAGGATCTGTAAGTATCGAGCATGTGTTGAGACTCCTGATCTGTAACTTTGAGTGGCCAGTTGGTCTGCTGGGAATCTCCTGAGGTGCCTTCAGCCACTCCTCAGCTCTGCACGGGGTCAGCACCAGCTTTGCTGGGCCCATCAGGGCTCTTGTGACCTGCCCTTGCCCACCTGCAGGCACAACATGCCCCAGGCTGTGCCCTGCAGACAGGCAGGTTTCTGTAGGGCTGGGGTGGGTGCACACAGGTTGGGATGGGGCCTGTGAGGGCTGACAGGGAAAAGACACCTCTCAGGAGGAAAATGTCCAAGCACCAGGGATGTGATCAGGGAAGGAAAGGAAGCTGAAAAGAGAAATGCTGTGGGAAGGAGGGCACTGCTGGTGTTTGGCAGGTGGCACAGTAAACCACTGCTGAGTGCCCAGCTGTCTCTGGCCTCTCAGTGGGGCCACCATGTATTTTTCCTTGTTGGTGTTACTTAGTTCTGTCAGTGAGCCTCAGGGAGCTGCAAAAGCTGAGTTCAGACACTGATCTGGTGATTCCTGCCATGCTGGTGTGTCCAGGGGAATAGAATGTTCAGAATTTCCTCTAATCTGTGGGCAAGGTAGACCTTGTGACAGGGGAATGAGCTGACCCTCCCTTACTGAGACATCATCATTAGGACACGCAGGAATCTCCTTGCTGTGTCATTCCAAGCACTGAGCTGCCCTCCTGGATGTAAATCTGTGCCAGAGCATGTTGGTGTTACCTGAATGCCCCCTGGAGAAACTCAGAGATGCTACAAGAAAAGAAATGCTGTTGGGGTTGTCGAGTGTACCATGTGTGTGTCTGGGGCAGAAGTGGGTGCTCAGACCTTGCTCAGAAACCTTTAGAAAGGGTGAGACATTCAGTGATCCCTCTGCTCTTGGCAGGGTCTGGTTCTTCTCAGGGTAACATAGGAGTGTGATTGTCCTTCAATACCCAAAGGTGCAAGTACAGGGCAGTTGGGAACAAGCCCATCCAACCCCATAACCTTGCCATAAGCCACAGGGAATCCCTTTGCCTCTCATGTCTCTCAGTGGCTCACTCTGAGTGCAGCAGAAATGCTGGGGGTTACTGAGCTTGGAGAACCAGGCATGAAGAGTGGGGAGGGAAAAATTCCCTAAATCTCCTTCGGGTCTTCTGCATCCTCAAAAACTGGGAGTGCAGATCCTGACAAGCCTTTCTGC